CAGCGACTATACCTGAATTTTATGGGTTGGGAAGATACCAACGTAGGTGGCAAAGAGTGGGAAGAACTCTATGGGCGTCCCTGCTTACCACCGATGCTGCTTCACCCCATAAAAGATGTCGAGCCTACGGAACCAGGGTACAAGAGCGAATCGAACCTCCCTTATTCTTAAGTCAACTTTCTCTCGGCGCGAAAGAAATTCGGGGTTCCCCTTTTTTTTTTTTTCCGCTGCGTCAAGGTTTAACAAATTTTATATAGCTTTAGACAAGCTAATCTTTCGGCCCGTCGATTACTTTTTGGAACTCAGTCTTTCCCGGGGTTATTTAATCGCCCGTCAATAGAATAGGGTCCCCGTATGTTGTCATCCCTTCACTGGGTGCAAGCGATACGAACGCTTCTGACGGCGTCAACGCTCTACGTCAAGTTAGAGTAGGTCCTTCGATGAGCAATTGAGGATGCCATCATCCTCGACCAATTTTTTTCTTCCAAGATTCATCTTTTAGAATGGCGAGTACGTTCAAATACGACTCGAGCAGGACAAGAACGATGTAGGACGGACATGGCGAGGGATTCAATAATCATCATCGCATTACCCGGCGTTTTCACATACCCGGCCTGGCCAGTCGCAGGTCTGAAATTTACGGAGAGCTTCGTCTCGGCCCACGAGAGAAAATTCATTGCATGTATAAGGCTGCGGATCGGTTATGAACTAACACCTAGTCCTAGACGGATTAAGGCATGTTGAAAGCTTTGTTAAGAGTAGATATGCTATATCATGTAAATACCCCGTCACGAATGAATATACTATACTGTTTAAGTTATGATTGTTGCTTGGGTTTTGGCTGTGACGTAGTGAGATGGTGCAAGGTCGAATTCATGTTGGCAAGCAAGTAAAGTATATTCAGTTACTTAATATAGTTCAACTATCTAAAATACTATGGACATGATGATGGATGAATATATGCCTATAAAAAGACGGCTAAGGAGGGATGTGTCAAAATCCCATTCCCCTTGAATCTATAACGTGTTGAAATAAGTCTTTCGTGATCGTGTCTAAGTTTTAAAAATCTTATCTACCTGTTAGTAAATTTTATAACCAAATTGCCAACGCGTCGAACATTATAGTTGCAGGGATGAATGGTAGGATGCATCTAAATGCTTTATATGTTGGCCTAGTAACTCGGAAGAAATCAATACGCGGGTATCTTAATAATGCATACCTCTATTCTAGGAGGTGACCTCGTTCTCGTGGTTAGACGGTTCTTTTTCTTTCTCCGAGGGAGGAACGAAAGCTGCTTTCCCTGTGTCTTCCTCGTCTCCGGGCGCATGTCCGATGATGGATTCGAATGTCTATAGAAGTCAGTGTTAGTAGTTCATGTGAACTCTCCTCTAGAGTGATATGATATGAGTAAATAAGCAGGGGGGGGAAGGAAAGGAGAAATTACCGGGCCCTCGAAGGTTTTGCCATATGTAACCCAGTACGTGCCGACTATTATCAGGAAGATACCAATCACGACGACTACGTAGTCTGTTTGTTTGTTTGCTGTTAGTAAGATCTGGCTCTTATTGTCTAGGTAGATTTATAGACGGGAATAAAGGGGCCACCTACTCATCTGATCTGCTGAAACGGGAAGTCCAGTCGGGAAGCAGAAGAACTAACACCAGTTAGCAATTACTTATTTATTTATTTATTTCGCCTCGGGGGGGGGGGGGGGGCGGGGGGGGGGGGGGGGGGGGGGGGGGGGGGGGGGGGGGGGGGGGGA